CTGACTTGTTAATTTTAGCCATTCTGACTGGTGTGAGGTGGTTATCTCATTGAGGTTTTGATTTGGATTTCCCTGATGCCGAGCGATGTTGAGCACTTTTTCATGTGTAGGCAGAGTTCTTAAATATGACATCAAAAGTGCAATCCACAGAACAAAATTGATAAATTGGACTTCATCAAAGTGACAACTTTTGGCTTCAAAAGAAACTCTTAATAAGTTCAAAAGCTAAGACACAGACTACAAGAAAATATTTACAGGGCGCCTGGGGGGCTCAGTTGGTTAAGCAACTGCCTTCTGCTCAGGTCATGATCCTGGAGTCCCTGGATGGAGTCCCATATCAGGCTCCTTGCTCGGCAGGGAGTCTGCTTCTCCCTCTGACCCTCCCCCTTCTCATGTGCTCTCGCTCTCTCAAATAAATAAATAAAATCTTTTAAAAAAAAGAAAATATTTACAAATTATATATCTGGTAAAGGAGTTCCATCCAAAATACACAAAGAACTCTTATAACTTAGTTATGAGAAGAGTAACAATCCAATTAAAAAATGAGGAAATGCACATTTCACCAAAGAGGATATATGAATGGCTAAAAAAGCACTTGTAAAGATAGTCAACATTGTTAGTCACTAGGGAATTCAAATTAAAACCACAGTGAGAAAGCATTACACACCCACTAGGGCTATAATTAAAAGGACAGACAATACCAAGTGTTGAAGAGCATGTGGGGGAATCTTTATATATTGCTGGTGGGAGTGTAAAGTGGAAAAGCCACATTGCAAAACAGCTTGGTAGTTTTTTAAAAAGGTAAACAAATTTGCCATATGACCTAGAAATTCTACTACTAGGTATTTACCCAAGAGAAATGAAAATTTATGTTCACACAAAGACCTGTACATAAATGTTCACAGCAATTTGGTTATTCATAATAACCAAAAGCTGGAAACAACCCAGATGTCCATCAACTCATAAGTGGTAAACAAAGTCGTATGTCCATGTAATGGACTATTTTTCAGCTACAAAAAGGAATGAAGCACTGATACATGCTACAACATGTATGCACCTTGAAAACAGTATGCCAAGTGAAAGAAGATAGTTTAAAAAAACGACATATTGTATGATTCCATATATATGATATGACCAGGAAAGGTAAATCTTTGGAGACAGAAATCAGATCAATAGTTGCCTGAAATTGGAGGTGAAACTGAGGATAGACAGCAAATACTTATGAAGGAAGCTTATGCGGTTTTGGACGTGTCTAAATCTAGATAGTAACAGTGGTTGTTGCACAGCACTATAAATTTACTAAAAACCATCGGCTGTATGCTTACAGTGGGTGAATTTTATGGTATGTGAACTATATTTCAGTAAAACTGTAAAATTGTTAAATGAATTTCAGAAACGCTTGTCCGTTACTGATGGACAGTTTGCTACAGGATCTTTCTGGGACTTAGTGACCAGAGATGCATGCAGAAATGGAAAGAGAAACGAATCTGTTTAGAAAAATTAATACCTTAATGAGGACCTATAGGGAGTGACCAAAAAAAAAAAAAGCTCAAGAGAGAACGCTTGGGAATGACCAGAAATTGTTCAGGAAACTCTCCAGGCTGAGAGGCAAGGCCTGGAAAAGGAGACATACTGCGTAGAGTTCTGGGGACTGCAATGGTGGGGATTTAGGCAACTTTAAAGAACACAGTTCCACCCTCATACTCAAGGGGGCACCAGAGGAGCAAATCTCAGTGTGACTGCAGACCTTTCCAATCCCTGAAGGCAGGGCCCTCTCCTGAGTTCATTGAAAACCTGACCCAGGTTCTTCAGAGACCAGGACTCTCAATTTTCTTTTATTTTCTTACGAAGAGGGAGGGAGAGGGAATTTGCCTGAAGGTGGCTTCCTTTTAAGTCTGAAAATGTGGCAGGAAGAGCCAAGAGAGGCCCTGTGACTCTCTCCAGGGGAGAGGCAGTGATTACAGCCAAAAGAAACTGCCCTAAGAGGAGCTTTTTCAGAATGACACATGCTATTTTCTTCCTCTCCCTCCGTGACTCAGATTCATATTTCACACAGACCTTTCCCTGTGTTTTCTTTCCTCTGCCTTGACCACTAGCCAGCTGACTGTGTCCACAGTGTTTTCCCACTCCTGCTCCCCAGTCGGAATCAGTCTGGTAAAAACATTTTTTTTTAGCTAGAAGAGATCTGGTGTTTACCAGGTAAATTCCTCTACAAGTACCTTTGCAATGAAAACCTCTATTTAAGAGAGTCCTCCACAGCCCAGCTTATATCTCACCTAATTCAGGTCATAGTCAATGAAACAAAATTCTAATCCATACCATACATTTGGACAGTCCAGTGGCACTTGTAAAAAGATTTGACCTGTAATACTTTCTTTTCCCCAAAGAACTTAAGAAATAAGTCAAGGCAAAAACAGAGTGCCTTCGGTAGTTGAAGAATATTTTCCCACGGGCACTTGTTTTAAAACTCCAGTTCCCAGGAAACCTCTGTAAGGACTTTTCCCAATAGTCTACCCGATCCTGGACAAGGAAGAGAGATAGGCTCTAGATTTGATAAGCAGGGATCTTCTCAGAAGGAAACCATGGGAACTTTCTCAGTATTCAAGCAGGCTCTGGTCCAGAGCATTGTAGAAAATGATCAAGGGATCAGAAATGAATCTAGTTAAAGGAAACAAAAGTAGCATACCAAAGAAGTGAGAGTATGTTGAGGCCTGAGGCCATATAATGTACTAATGAGAGTCAAGTCTTTAAAAAATACTGTACCTAGATCATATGACAGAATTATTTACATCAGTTGTTCTTACACAGTGCTAAGAGCAAGATTCTTAAAGGGCATCATTACTGGGGGAAGCCATTTTCTCCCTCTCCCAGCTACATAAAATAGAAACTTCCACTTCTTCAAAATTATGAAGAGCATTTGCCTTCCTGCTTATCCTCCCCCAGTTCTCCCCAAGGAAGGACTGACTTACCTGACTGTGGCACTGGGGAAGGAACTGAGCATGCTCAGCTCTTTCTGCACCTTGTCCTGGAAACAGGCTGCCCACCAGACAAGTGCATCCCCACCCTGAGTCCCAAACACACAGAAGTCTAGGATAGAGTAATAAGAAGTGTGGTTGTAAGCCCTGATGTGTGGCTCCTCCACTTTGGCCTCACTCCCATCAAAGCCAACACTTTTCTCTCAATATGTCTAATTTGTGTGTTTATTTCTCAAAAGCTTCTGAACACAAAGGGGGTAAGAGCTGCAGTTTATTGTCTTCTTTAAAGCCTCCAAATCAAGACTTTGAGTAACCCTGCCCCTGAAAAGTTTGAAAACCAGTGAATAACCCAAAGAAATGACTCTAGCAGGAGACTAAATTTACTATATGCCCTTGAGCAAGGGGTGAGCTCCTCAGTCAGGAAGGGAGGCCACCTCTCCCAGAAGAGAGTGCAGCTTGAGGGGCTTGCACGTGGGGCAGTGAGGGATGAACGGACAGCTTTCCAAGAGCCTGGAGTGGGGACACCAGCATCACTGCCAAATTCTCTCATGGCTAAAGTGTGAAGTGGTGGCAAGAGCCCCAAATTAGGACCTAGAAAACTTGTATTGAAATCCCAGCTCTTGGGTGCCTGGGTGGCTCAGTTGGTTAAGCAACTGCCTTCGGCTCGGGTCATGATCTTGGAGGCCCGGGATCGAGTCCCGCATCGGGCTCCCAGCTCAGCAGGGAGTCTGCTTCTCCCTCTGACCTCACCCCCTCTCGTGTACTCTGTCTCATTCTCTCTCTCAAATAAATAAATAAAATATTAAAAAAAAAAAAGAAATCCCAGCTCTTATCAGATGTTCAGCCTTCACCAATTTTGAGCCTCAGTTACCTTATTTGTAAATGAGCATAAATATCATTCCCACCTACCCTGAGGGTTACTGTGAGAATCATTACATCATATATATGAATGTTATATGTACACTGGAAAGTACGATGGAAATACAAGATCATATGAAAAAATGGTGAGGATAAGTTATTTAAAGATATTTTGGGGTGGAAGAGCTGGATATTTTCCATTTACTCCTCCAGATCCACTCTCCAATCTGATCCATGTTCTGAAAGCTGAACTTTCTGAACATCAATGGGCTCCCTGGCCTGTTGGCTGCCTGTTGAGTTTAACTGAAGTGGAACTACAGAGGGAATTGGAGAGAGGGTGGTTCAGCTGCCTGGATCAGATTCCCCAGTATCCTCCCAGCTGGGTCTCTTCAGGTTGGCTGCACCTCTCTATGAAGGGCACAGCTTAAGCCTTCTCCACAGTTTTTCCCCAGACCAGCAGCATTGCCATCACCAGAGAATGTGTGAAAAATAGTTACTCTAGTCCTACCCCAAACCTACTGAAGCAGAAGCTCCAGGCTAAGGCCCAGCAATCTATGTTTTAACAAGCCCTCCAGAAGATTCTGATGCACACAAAATTTGAGAACCACTGCTGTAACTAACTGCTGTACTCCCTTTCCTTTGCTTGCAGCTACTCACCCTGGGATACTATCCAATCCCTTGTTGCTTCCCCCCAAACCCTGTTTACCTTTGTAAATAGTCCTTTCATTATCCTCTCCTCAAGTTAGTCATTTTGAGCGTGCCATTGTTTCCGTTCGGTAAACTAAGAAATGATGTAACATCCTGTGAGACATATGACTAAAATCTGAGGGTTTTGTGTGGGCTTGGTCTGTAACGTTGGTTTCTACCAAGGGCTTTAGTCTGAAGAGGGAAAATGCTAAAATAAGTTGCTACTTGCAAAAGGAAGCTGCAGGTATTTCTTTCGTTTGGCTAAGGCCAAAGCTCTAGTGAGCTAAATTCATACTATTTATTTTTCATTTCACACAAAAGTTGATTGGGCCAAGATACACCTTTTGAGCCGCTGTGGAAAATAAACAAGGTCAAACGGTCAGTCTGTCCAAAGTGTGTAATGCCTAAGACAAAGAGAGACTTTTTCTAGGTTGTTTGTTTCTGCAGGTCTCTTGTCACAGGAACTCTCCTTGTTTCCAGGGTGTAAACCTGAGGCAGAAGTATTCAACAGAGGTCAGCAGGGAGCCTCGAGTAAATCCCACTCCAACAAGTCATTTCCTTCGGGAAGAAGCCTGCAGTCAGGGTAAGAAAGAGGCTTTGGGAAGACTCAGCCCAAAGTGCTAACTAACCCGGGTTTTTCTTGCCTTTGTAGATGTACACTGCTTTTGCCTACAACTGAAGAGACTGGTTTTCAAAGTGGCGTCTCTTACTTATGCATTATGATTTATTAATTTAACCACCAGTAAGAACTGGACCCTGAAAAATGGTGAGGCAGGCTAAGCTTGTCTTCACATTTTTTCTTTAATCCACTTTTTGTAAAAACAATTCTCTATCTACCCTCCACCCCCGAGGTCCATGGTATCCTCAAGCTATAAGCTGTCCTATTTATAGCCTACCACTTAAACAACCTTCCCGAATTTTCTCCTCCTTGAACTTTTCCAGAGCACACTCAAAATTAAGAGGAACAGGGTCCTATCCCTCAGGGCCTAATGCTGATGTGATCATCTAATTAGCCCTGGTAGACAGTGGCTTACTGCTAGTAATCCTCCTGCCCAAGGCAGCCCACAAGAGAGGACCCATCTCAGGACAGCAGGCCTTGCTGCCTGAGAGCTATATGATCTTGAGAATATTACAAAGAAAGATACAAAGAATCATAGATTCTTGGGGCTGAAAGGGACTGGTACCTGAATACATATTCTAACACATTACCAAGCTATTATCTACCTTCCCTTTAATTTTCTACTGAAAATAATTTCTACCACTTATTGAGCACCTCCTATGGGCCAAGGCCTCTTCTAGGTATGTTGTATACATTATCACTAATCCTGAAAGTAACCCATCAAGGTAGTTAGCACTAACCCCAGTTTGCAGTTGTGGAACTGAGACTCGATAGAGAGACATAGTTCTGAGAAAGTGGCAAAGCCAGGGTTCATATCCAATTCCAGTTGGCCTGGAAGTCGGTGCTCATTCCACTTGACTGTGTGATCTCCTGAGAGATCCCATTCTAACCCTGCAATTGAGGCATCCTTTATAATGACCTGAATTCTGTCTTCCTCTACCTCCCGCCCATCACCTCCAAGTTCTACCCCTCTGGGTACAACAAGCAAAATTGGCTTCCTCTTCCACAAGCCACTTTTTCAGATATTTGAAGACTCCAAACTACTCTAACCATCCTGAAAATATTCAACCTTTCCTCCTATGAAGGAAGTCCCTTTACTATCCTTCCAATTTCTCTTCTGTTTGTCTATGTCCCATAAGTCAACAACAGCCACAGGTTGAGTTTTAATATACATACAGAAAACTGCACAAATTATAAGTATACAGTGCAATTAATTTTTACAAAGTAAGCGTTCCTTCCTGGATTGAGAAACAGAAGCATTACCAGATCCCTGGAAGCCCATGCTGTCCTGTCTCTGCCTCCCCCAGAGGTGACCACAACCCTGACTTTTAACACATGCATTATATAGAAAGCAGACAGTCTGCCTCCTTTTGTGTCTGGCTTTCTTTGCTCAACATTGTGAGAATTCCATGTCATATTGTGTGGAACTATAGTTAGTTCGTTCTCACTGCTTTCTGTGTACTTTTTTGTGTGCAGTAAATGCAACTTTTTTATTATTTTATTTTTTTATCAAACTATAGTTGGCATACAATGTTATATTAGTTTCAGGTATACAACATAGTGTGAGCAATTCCATACATTACTCAAATGCTCACCATGATAAGTGTAGTTACTATCTGTCACAATACAAAGTTAGTATAATACTATTGACTATATTCCCTATGCTGTATTTTTCATCCTAGTGATTTATTTATTTTATAACTGGAAGTTTGTACCTCTTAATCTCCTTCACCTATTTTGTTCATCCCTCTACCCACCTCTGGCAGCCACCAGTTTGGTCTCTGTATTTATGAGTCTGTTTCTATTGTTTGTTTGTTTGCTTGTTTCAATTCTACAAATAAGTGAAATTATACGGTATTTTTCTTTCTCTGTCTGACTTATTTCATTTAGCTTTATACCCTCCAGGTCTATCCATGTTGTTGCAAATGGCAAGATTTCATTGTTTTTTATGGCTGCGTAATATTTCATTGTATATGTATGCCTCATCTTTTTTTTAATTTTTTATTTATATATGTATTATTTGTTTCAGGGGTACAGGTCTGTGATTCATCAGTCTTACACAATTCACAGTGCTCACCATAGTACATACCCTCCCCAGTGTCCATCACCCAGCCGCCCCATCCCTCCCAACCCCCCTCCACTCCACAACCCTCAGTTTGTTTCCTGAGATTAAGAGTTTCTTATGGTTTGTCTCCCTCTCTGGTTTTGTCTTGTTTCATTTTCCCTCCCTTCCCCTATGATCCTCTGTCTTGTTTCTCAAATTCCTCACATCAGTGAGATCATATGATACTTGTCTTTCTCTGATTGACTTATTTCACTTAGCATAATACCCTCTAGTTCCATCCATGTCGTTGCAGATGGCAAGATTTCATCTTTTGATGGCTGCATAATATTCCATTGTGTGTGTGTGTGTGTGTGTATATATATATATATATATATATATATATATATATATATATACTACATCTTCTTTATCCATTCATGTCTCAATGGACACTTAGGTTGATTCCATATCTTAGCTATTGTAAATAATGCTGCAATAAACATAGGAGTGCATGTATCTTTTCAAATTAGTGTTTTCATTTTCTTTGGGTAAATACTCAGCAGTGGAATTACCAGCTCATATTGTATTTCTACTTGTAATTTTTTTAAGAACCTCCACACTGTTTTCCATAGTGGCTGCACCAATTTACATTCCCACCAATAGTGAATGAGTATTCTCTTTTCTCCACAAGCTTACCAACACTTGTTTTTTCTTGTCTTTTTGATGCTAGCCATTCTGACTTGTAGGAGGTGATGCTTTCTATGTAATTTTTTTAATGTGGTAAAAAATATATATAACAAAATTTACTATCTTAGCCAGTTTTAAGTGTACAGTCCAGTGGTATTAACTACATTCACAGTGTTATGCAACCATCACCACCATCTATCTCCAGAACTTTTTCATCTTTCCAAACTGAAACCCAGTTACCGTTAAACAGTAACTCACCATCTACCCCTCCCTCAGCCCTTGGAAACCACCATTCTACTTTCTGTCTCTGTGAATCTGACTAGATACCTCATATAAGTGGAATCATACACGATTTGTCCCTTTGTGACTGGCTTATTTCACTTAGCATCCTGTCCTCGAGTTTTATGTTGTAGCAAGTGTCAGAATTTCCTTCCTTTTTAAATCTAAATTTCTTTTGTATGGATATGCCACATTTTGTTTATTCCATGTGCTTCTTTTTAAGATTTGTTTATTTATTTGAGAGAGAGAGAGCCCACAGCATGGGCGGGAGGGGCAGAGGGAGAGGGAGAGAACGTCTTAAGCACACTCCACGCTGAGCACTGATGGGGGGCCTCGACCTCAGGACCCTCCGATCATGAGCCCCCACTCTGTGTGCTTTTTAAAGCACATTGTCTTATAGTGTACCCAATGTCTCTGGTGGGTCTAGCACGAGCAGGTCCTTTCCACAACTCCACCACCTCACTCCCACATTCATTTTCTCTTGCTTCCAATTCTGGCTCTCCTCTGGACACAGTGCCCCTTGTGCTATATCCATCTTTGCTTCCCCAGCACCTAGCTCTGAGTAGAAATACAGTGAACAATATCTGTTAATAAACAAATGAATGGAAGTAGAACAGCCCCATGAACTCCCTCCTTTTTACCTTTCTGAGCCTGTTTCTTCATTCTTAAAATGAAGGGTTTGAACCACGGATTTCGCAAGTCTTGCCTACTTTAACATCTCTGATTTTATGACAGACTCGCACTTAACAAAACTCTTCAGTGACCTGTTCCAAGGGTTTGGCTAAGAAAAACAGTAATAGTAACTTTTAAAGCTACACTTACATGTTTTAGTTTATGTAATTTCGGTTTATTCCCTTGGTAATCCTGTTAAGTAACGTGAGAATTTAAGGCTCCGTGAAAGAGGATTCTGGACAAGGAAACAGACTTGCAAAGTGGGCTGTTAAGGTGATCCCCACTAGGGAGAATTTTGCCAGCCTAATTTCTTTCATTCCACATCTGAACTGACAAGCTTCCTAGAGTATGTAGCAGGGAGGTAGAGTCGGGTGGGGAAGGGCACTGTAGGGAAGCTGCAATTCCCAGCCCAGTCACCAGGTGGCCCCTTAACTGCACCCAGAGGGGACAGATGAAGAAAACAACTCCAGCCCCAGAGCCAGAATGGTCCCAAAAGGTCAGTAAACCGAATTAGGCTTTTTCTTGGAGGCTTTTCAGATAAAAAATGGTTTGGAAGCCCTGAGTATTCTGAAATACACTATGACTGGCATTGGACTTAAAATGCTACTCACTGTGTTCCTGGATAAGTTAAAAATCTGACCATAATACCTTATCCTCCATCTTGTGACTTCTGGATCTTATTCTCTCTTCTCCTCCTTCTCCCTCATCCGTTAGATTTTTATGAGAGACACAAAGCCAGATTTTGATGGGCCATGGTTTAAACACACTGACTTAAAATGTCTCAGGGGACAGTAAGTTTACAGGTGGATCAGTAGCTTTCCAGCTGGAATTTTTAAAGGACACTAAGCTTAGTGTCTTATAAAAGAGAACACTCTCACACGTATTTCAAGAACATTTAGAACTTCTGTGTCAGATTAGATCAAATCCATACAAATAGTCTCTCCTTGGCAATTGCTGCTAATAAAGTGGTGTATATGTCTCCAGGTATTTTTTCCAAAGTACATAGTAGCATATGTTTTTTTCTTCTTTTTTTAAAAAGACTTTATTTATTTGATAGAGAGAGGGGAGAACACAAGCAGGGTGAGCAGCAGAGAGAGAGGAGAAGCAGACTCCCCGCTGAGCAGGGAGCCTGATGTGGGGCTTGATCCCAAGGGCCCTGGGATCATGACCTGAGCAGACGGCGGATGCTTAACCGAATGAGACACCCAGGCGCCCCTGTTTCTTCTTTATAAAAAGGAAAACTGAGGCACCTGGGTGGCTCAGTCGGTTAAGTGTCTGACTCTTGATTTCAGCTCAGGTTGGAATCTCGGGATCTCGGGGTCATGAGATCGAGCCCCACATCAGCCTCCTTGCTCAGCGGGGAGCCTGCTTTTCCCTCTGCCTGCCTCTCTCTCTCTGACAAATAAATAAAATCTTTTTTTAAAAAAGTTTATTATAAAAAGGACCATTGATTATACCATAACACCCATTAACCTTACTCCACATTCTCTTCTCTTACATTGAACATCCATGGGTTTTGGTAAAGTTGTGTTCAATTATTTCCTATTTTATGTTTTAAAAATAATTAGTGTTATTCTGTCCTCCCTCAGAATCCTTAAGTGTTTTGGCATTTCTGCTACAAAGATATTTTTGCCAATTCCTACTAATTTTTTGCTATCCTTTGAAATTGCAAATTTGTTTACTGAACCTAGGTATATTTTTTAGGGTGATTTACAACTTTTGAAACATAGTGCTCTAGGGGTGCCTGGGTGGCTCAGTCGTTAAGCGTCTGCCTTTGGCTCAGTTCATGATCCCAGGGTCCTGGGATCGAGCCCTGCATCGGGCTTCCTGCTCAGCTGGGAGCCTGCTTCTCCCTCTCCCGCTCCCCCTGCTTGTGTTCCCTCTCTCGCTGTGTCTCTCTCTGTCAAATAAATAAATAAAATCTTTAAAAAAAAAAAAGAAACATAGTGCTCTATTATATTATTGTTGTTTCCTTGGTTCCAAGCACTACTAACTTCGGGTGGGATTCGCACACTTTTACTGTTCATTCTGTTATTTTCATAGAGGTTCTGTGACCTCCTATTGTATTCATTCTTTAACATTAGTAATGTCCTGGTGGGTTAAAAGCAGTCAAAAAATCAGAGACTTAATAAATAAATAATTAGCTGTCTTAGAGACCACAGAGAACAACTTCAACCTATACATTAGCACTGTGTAAGGATGAAATGAAATAGCCAGTGTGAAAGCCCTTTGAAAAATACAAATGTATGCCATGCAAATATAATATTTGGCCTGACTTCAAGTGGAAACCAAGAGCTGCTGAAATAATGGCTTCTTAGGATTTAGCAAATGCCTAGGGTCATATATCTGAGGAAAGAGCTGGGAGACACATAACCAGCATCATTTCTTAAACTAGCTGAATATTCTACATTGTTTACCCACAAATGTTCTGGCTACTATTGTGACTTAACACATTTTAGTAATAGGGTAATGGGAGAATGCATTTTTTTTTTTTTTTACGGTAGTCTTGAGATTCCAACAACTATCAAGGGACATAAATCAGCACGAAGTCTTCAAAGTGGCTGGTCTAGCAAGACAGAGCCAGTGTAATGTGGCTTTTCTATTAGCTTGGCTATAAAGTTGGCTATTAACTTAGCACTTAATTGGATCCTCCTACAGTGGAATCATAAGAGCATTCAGTCCTGCAGGCTAGAGAACGTGTTGTACCTGTTGAATAGTGTTTAAGGTCCTTTAAAAGTCTGGTTATAATTGCGTAATGACTAAACACGGCTTTATTATATCGGACTTTTAGAGGTGATAGGCATGTTGTCTACCTTCACAGAATTGTGTGCAAAGGGCTGTATCTGAATCCTAGCTCCACCGTTTATAAACTCTATGTCTTTGGTCATATGTTTTAGCCTTCATGAGCTTCAGTTTTTTCATTTGCATAATACAGGTAACAGTACCTATCCTTCTTACTTCATGGAATTGTAAGAATTAAGTTAAACCATGCACAGAAAAGAGTTTTAGGGACTTAAGCACTCTATACCCATTAGTTATGATTACTAAGTGTAACCATCATATTTTACCAAAATGAGGAAGCTGAGGCTCAGAGAAGCTAACTGATTTGATAAGGATCGATCTATGGTGGCAGAGTTAGATCTAGAACACAGATCTCCAGGCCTCTTTTCTTTGCAGTGTATCAATCAGTGCTGTTTTGTGACATTTTATATAAACTAAGGTCTCCATCCATGACTCATTTACATACAATTTATTAGCCAGCTATAATAGGTCATTAAAATTTAACTTCAAGTTTGTTAGAAGCTAGATTTAATTACTGTGTATGTGTAGATGCATTACTGAACTTCCAGCTAAAACTATAGCTAGGCTAGACCCTGAAGGGAAAAGTTTTTTGTTTTTATTTTGCATGTCAGTGCTTGGCTAAAACTTCTGTTTTTGTAAGAGAGTCACATGAGATAATCTAAACTCTAAATCTAATTATGAGGAAGAATCTACAAAACAAACTCAAACCTTGTATGAAAGCCAAAACTTTCATTATACTTTCATAATCTTTGTAAAATAGCTTTTTTTCTCTACCTTCATCCTAAAATATATTTCAAACTGGTATATTAACATAAAGATGACCAATTGTGGCCTCAAAGACATCTTATTCTTTTCTTTAATTCTTTTTTTAAAGATTTATTTTTTTATTTGAGAGAGAGCATGAGCAGGTTGGGGAGGAGCAGAGGGAAAGGGAGAAGCAGACTCCCCGCGCAGCAGGGAGCCTGATGCGGGCTTGATCCCAATACCCTGGAATCATGACCTGAGCCAAAGGCAGACGACGCTTAACTGACTGAGCCACTCAGGTGCCCCCGAAGATATCTTATCCTAATATTATTTTTGTCTCAATAGATTCACTTATCAATAATGTGTCTGTGAAAATAGCATTATATCTAAAGGCACTTCTTTGTTTTAAATAAGGCTATTCTGAGTTTTCCCTTATCCTTAAAATTTACAATGGATTTGGACTAAATAATGTCTAAAATTTGCTTATGACTCTAAGCTCTAAGACCTAGAATTCAGAATTGTAAGAACAAACTAGATCAGTATTTATTCTTCCAGCTATACTTGCATGGAGAATTGGGGCCAGTTTCCCTTCCACAGAAAAAAATACATTCAGGCATGTTGAACCTTGGGGCCTTGTTAAGGAATGTCTCTCAATTCTTTGTGAGTTTTTAGTAGCTTAATTTTACAGTGTTCTATGATAGAGAATGTCTAGAATTTATGTCTTAAGATTTGGGCCCATGTCCTGGCTGATTTTGAGCAAGATATTAAGCCTTCTCTGAATCTCAGTCTTCTAATCTTTAAATATGGTTATTTCAACAGGATGCCCAGAACTTATAAGATTTTTAAAAGATTAGGGGGAGGGTTGGCAGGCAACTAGAGAATCTCAGAAAGCTATTGTTTCAGAGCTAGAGAGCTTTTCAGTCTCGAAAGTGGTAAAACTTGACTACTCATTGTTGTCACCTTTGTTCTGGTGAAATGACCGAACTGCACCCTCTACAAAGAGTAAAATTTGTAGCCTCCTTGGTTCATGGAGAACACTCTGAGGAAACCTAAACCCTGATGTTCTCAGAGGAGAACTTAGCTAGGTATTCTTATTGGTAAAACAATTGTTAGCCTCTAAGCCTGTGCTTATCTCTGCCTGCTTTGTCACTTTTGAGGTAGAGGCAATGTCTCCTTTCTTTCCATACAAATCTAAAAGGATGAGGGCAGCCCTGTGCCTTGTGCCTGGGGAAATGTGTACTCTTGCCAGAGAAGGTGCTATCCACAAACCTGAAGCTGAGGCCCTCTAGATGTTCACATCTAGAAAGTGAGGACAATGAAACTGACCTTAGAATGTGGCTGTGGGAATTAAATGAGCTAATGCGTGTAAGCCTTCTGGCACATAAGGTACTTGTTAAATGATAGCTATTATGAATGTTTTCCTGAGCCCTACTATGGCCTCTTCCTCTGGTAGACAGAGGTGGGAGGTGGTGAGGGGAGGTGGCAGGAAGCAGAGCAGTGCTCAGTGGGCAGCCCTAAACAGGTGCCGGCCCATATGGTCAAACCCTACTCCTGGAACATGCATCTGCAAACCTTGGGCAGGGCTCTGGGCAGCAGCTGCACAGGATTAACAGCAGTGAGAACCAAAAGCAGACTGCATACCTCGCATCCTCCCAGAGCTGGCCCAGAGACACATGAGACTCGCATGTAGTTCAGCCAAAATGTAGGCAGGGGTCAAACGTTTGGCCCCTAGTTTACATAGGCTTGCATTCACCAAATGAAATTTCAAATAAAAGAGACACAGCAACATAAAACAAAGGGACACTGCTGCCAGGGAACATGCCCAGGACGATGTGACCTTGATGCTCTCTGATTGTTTTCACTTCCAGTAAATATTCTGCCCTTTAAGAAAATGACAACTAGAGCAGGAGTGTGAAGACACCGCTGAGTGTCATTTTGCAAGGTTTAACAAATCTGAGTCTTGGGGATTTGGGGTAATGGAGCACATGGAAGTTTCTTCTGATTAGTCGTATAAAGAGATAGTAAGCAAAGCGACCCGCAGAGTAAAAAAGGGCAGCAGGTGTGAAGTAGCTGTCTAGGGGATCAGGTGATACGATGGAATAGCCAGGGAACATGGGGCTGCAGGATGTCCATGATTTCGAATTTTAACTGAGTCCAGTCAGCATGCTTGTGCATTTCTCCCCAACGTTTTGAGGTGTGAAGTCACTAGGACTTATTGTAATTAGTTAGGGTTTTGTCAGGTAAAAATATGAAAGGAAAGAGGGGCAAAGAAATTGGGGGTATATGCAAGGTTCATGAATGGAAGCTGGGGAAGAAGGGAAGTAAGGACACAGTGAAGGTGAAGAGTGATGAGAGACATCAGGGTCAATGGATTCTAGGCCCCAGTGGGGTTGAGGACATTCTTTAAGCAAATTTTGGCACTACAAATCTTTTTTCCCCCCAGGTGTTTAAGAGCAGAACATTTCCTTGCCATCTTCTCACATTACCCTCTTTATTCCCACTTTTTTTTTTTCTCTTTTCACAGTTTTCTTCTCTCCAAGTTCATGAGGGGTTGCTACTTGCTTTGCTGAGAAAGAGTGAAGATTCTTGTACTCCTGGCAAAGAAGGAGTTAAATGGTGTTATTTGGAAGTCCTTCTACATTATCCAGATGTGGCTTAGAGATAGGATTATGCTGATGTCCTTTGTTTTTCTCCTTAATTACCAAAGAACTCTCTTATCTCAGACATTCTGGTGCTTTGTTGGAATTTTCTTAATAATACAGCCTACTACAGAGCAATTTTGGGGGAGAACTGCAATCTGACCCTTAAATTGGGGCAGGATTCTAGCAAAATAGAGGCCTCCTGGCCAGAGCCTCTGCTCAGATTCCTAACAGAAACACACTTCTCATCAGAATGGCTTCAGGAGATCCGATGACAGAGGCAGTTCTATGAGTTTGTTGTGCTGGTCTTTTCATTTACCTGAAAACTATTTTAAATGATTGCTTTCCAAATGCAGTGACACAGCAGTCAGTTTTCTAGAGACCTTCCATTCAGTAAACTTCTTGCTCTGAAGGTTTGCCCTGTCAATCCTGGAGGTGCTTGAAAGCAGAATGAGCAGGTCACAGAGGCATAGAAAGGATAGAGGATAATAGAATCTGTAAGATTTGGGGATCACAAAAAGTGAAAATGATCCACTGATATGTTCACCTCACCTGACTTGCTGGAAGGGACCTCAAATGGTCTTCACGTTCATCTTCCTGCCTCCACACAGGACAGCAGCAAAGCTTTCTGCCCACTTGGAGATTAGGTCTGTTGCTATCAATGCTTCAGGAATTTTTAAAAGTTGATCTTATATTTATCTTTAAGCAGATTTACTCTTCCACACTTTTACTCGTTCTTCTACTGACTATTAAGTTTGACTCTTAAGGGATATTCCCAATTTGCAAAGTAATTCACTACTTGTTGCTGTTACAAACATGTCTAATTTTTTTTAATTATCCAGTTACCACAGGAAAGTTAATCATGATAATCTAGAGCTTACATCTTGACTTTTCGGTTTTTGAATTTGTGAAAAAGCACAGTTTATTGTCAGGTGACTTGAATTCTCCCTAAATTCAACCCCTTGCCTTTCCTGGCACTGTAGAATGGTGGACAGAGAAATAGAGCTGAAGCCAGAAGCCTCAAATCCCAACTCCACCATTACAAGCTGCATCATCACCATTTATGTTACTCTTGATTTATAGCCCCAATTTTCTCATCTGCAAAATGTAAAAAAGCATACCTATGCCCCTAATAAATCAGGTAATAAATGTAAAAAGCATTTTTAAAATGCTAAAATAGGGACTCCTGGGTGGCACAGTCTGCTGAGCTTCTGGCTCTTGATTTTGGCTCAGGTCATGATCTCAGGGTTCTGAGATTGAGCCTGGTGGCGGGATCCACACTCAGTCGGGAGTCTGCTTGAAATCCCCTCTCCTTCTGCCCCTCCTGCTCATGCTCTTTCTCTCTCTCTCAAATAAATAAATCAATCTTTTTTTTAAATGCTAAAATATTGTAAAAGTGTATCTGTTTTTAGGTTTTACTCCCATTTGCCCCATGTAAGCTTATTTGGGGTCTCCTTGGGCCCCATCCTTCTCTGCTCTTCTTGTTTTTGCCCAGCTTTCCTTCTCCTGTCCCTAGTGTCCAGCTGTCCTCCATGGAATGTTGTTGTAGCAGAAATCTCAGAGACTACACAAAAACTAAAAATACAGCCAAGAAAGAAATTAATACCAGTGTACAGAGACCTTCTTCCTGCTAAACATATTTCTTAGAGGGTGCTATGAGACTGAGCGAAGGAGAGGAGAGAGAGCAAAAAGCAGATGGAGAGGCCAGTGACCAGAGCAGGAGAGGGAAGAGCAAAGGAGCTGGGAAAGAATCTACTAGAAAAGGAGGAACACAGAACTCACGTCACCCCCCGGCCTTTGAAAGGAGGGGAAAAGGACAGTATAATTCCAACAAAACATGAAAGTATATGAAAGGGAGTTTATACAGAAAAGAGCAAAGGAAGCAAAAGAATAAAATTCTTTTCAGGAAGGGGAGTATCAAGTTGCATTGCAGGCAGGCACTGTAATAAAGTTATGATATAGTGAGAATAGTTTAGTGAGAATATTTGATTCCTACAGCCAGTTGCTGGGAGGAAAATGTAAATCGCTGTTATATTTGTACTGCAGGTAAAATTATCCCATGGCCAATAAAAGAGAGAAAAGGGATTTGCTGCAAACATGGTTGGGACACATGCTGTTACACTCAATCCATGTGATAGAGAGAATGTGGAAGATGAACTTGGAAGAACACACAGTCCCATCTGCGTGCTTTCCTTCCCCAAGGAATCAAGTGACATTCTGCAATAACTTAGAAGCAGGAGTTTTCGATAGACACTTGGTATGGGAATTGGAAGAATGAAGGAATTGGAGGAGGAATCCCCACTAAGGCACGAGCTGGGATTCACTGCGGGAGTAGGGAGGCCTAGATGGAGCAGCAATCCTATTAGGGACTAGATTCTTTCTAGTGGAATTTCCTGAGCAGGGTAACTGCTAATAACTAGGCTACCCTGTAATTAAAGGAAGCTAAACAAGCCCATCTGCAGACCTAGGTTCCTGTGGAAACATCAGACCCAATCTTCAGTCTCTTCTGACACGTGGTATGTAAGTTGCCTTTCTCTGAGCCTGGGTAAAAACAGACAGTAGCACACCTTATTATGTCCTGGTCTCCCACCCCCACAAGACTATTTCAGAAACTAATATCAGAGGTAACAACCAGGATAGTGAGCTAAGGTTGGGAGAATTATATCCTGCATCTCCAGACTCTTCAGGGAACAAAACCACAGAGGTAAACTATTTCTGTTTCACATTGCAAAAGTACCCCATGACTCATCCTTTTTTTTCTTAATTAGTCCTTCTCTTTCTGATTACATCCATCTCAGGTAATCTTTGTTACCCCACTGAAAGCATGAGGATCGGTTTCCCATACAATGTTGTTTTGAGATTCACCAAGTGAATTTCACTCCTACTTTGGCTTCTCTGAAATCAGCTACTTTATGCAAAATTGAATGTAGATGCCTTATGTATAGGTTGATTAAGTTGCTGGTGAAAAGAGAGGCTCTCTTTTGTTGGCTGGGGAGACTAGACTTTCTTTCCCATACCGTTCATGTAACTCTCCCAGCTGCCAGGCCCCTAGGTAGTTTTCACAGTCATAGGCTCTCTCCTTATGCCCTGTGGCCAACAAAAAGAGAAAACAAAAAACTCTAGGCCATTGGCCTCCAAACTAGGACTTGATGACTTCTGAAGTCTGACTTCACTTGCAGGTTTAGGATCCTAAAGCTGTGGCTTCTACCTTCACATCCATCCAAACAAGATAAGCAAAATTCATGACTCCATTTTACTAGGTCATCGTGTAAGGGAAAGCACCAAGGGAATCTTTTGCCTTGAGAGCTCTATTTCTACTTCAAATAGAGCCAGTGAGACTGATCAGAAAACATCTCCCATAGCTACCTGCCAGGTGTTATCACAAGGGAAGGCAGGAACAGATCCTTTGTATAAATCAGGAATGTTCTCATTCTTGGAGTGGGACACAAACTTAGGAGAGCCAGTCTTGTACATAGAAATACTCAAATATCAGAAAAACAAGTACGTAGTGCCCCTCCGTGTTATGGGGCTTAGAGAGGTTTATCTTTTTGTTTGTATGGGAAAATTAAAAGAATACCAAATTATATTTTGTGTTCATACCAATTACCAAATAATATGCCCTAAATATAGTCCATCATATTTCCCTTGATCTTTGAAATAGGCAAGTAAGTTTCATTTTCAGGAGCTCCCCTTAGCAAAAATATGCTCCCAGCATTATATCCACCCTTTATTACTTGACTCTTATCTTTTTGCTCTTAACTTAATAGGGTTGTAATTTAACTCTTCCTGTTTCTTTTATTATAAAAGCAATTTGGAAGAACAAAAAGTATACAAAAGAAATGCATTGTTTTAAAGTAACAATAAAGGTCATAACCTTCAGTCAATGAAAATGCTTTTCTTCCTATTCCAAACCTATAGAGATAAAACACAAACAACAATAACAAAACAATTAAATACATAAATAAGTTCAAAAGCAAGAGAAGGAAGTCTCTAGATGCCAGAACTGAAGCAGAAACTAAAAGCCGTAACAGGAAGCAAGACAGCAGCAAGGCAGCCAACCTATCAGGTGCCTTTGCATAAATCAGAAAATGGACCACCCTCTGAGTATATTCACCCTTAGAGTGCAGAACTTGCTGAGTTCTGAGTTCTTACTGAGTCACACCATATTGTCCAAGTGCCCTCGTATAGGACATAACCTGCACAATGGTACACAGTGGCCCTGATAAGTGGGAGCAGAAGCTACATCACTCAGAGAGGTTTTGAAATTGGAAATAGGTCTTAGGGGCTGAGGGATAGAGTTTTTTTTTTTTTTTTTCAGGTATATTTATTTTATTTGAAAGAGAGAGTACGTGCACACAAGAGAGTGGGAAACTTCCCCCTCTCCTCCCCTGCTTGCACACTCTCTCTCTAAAATAAATAAATTCTTTAAAAAATAATAAAATAAACTTAACCAAGAAGGTGAAAGACTTGTACTCTGAAAACTATAAAACATTGATGAAAGGAATTGAAGACAACACAAATAGGAAGATATTTCATGCTCATGGATTGGAAGAACAAATATTCTTAAAATGTCCTACCCAAAGCAATCTACAGATGTAATGCAATCCCTAACAAAATACCAACAGCATTTTTCACAGAACTAGAATAAGTAATCCTAAAATTTGTATAGAATCACAAAAGACCCTGAGTAGCAAAGCAATCTTGAAAAAGAAAAATAAAACTGGAGATATTACAATACCAGATTTCAAGATATACTACAAAACTGTAGTAATCAAAACAGTATGATACGGGCACAAAAATAGACACATAGATCAGTGGAACAGAATAGAGAGCCCAAAAATAAACCCACAATTATGTGGTCAATTAATCTTCAACAAAGGAGGCAAGAATATGCAATGGAAAAAAGACAAGTCTCTTCAACAAATGGTGTTGGGGAAACTGGACAGCTACACACAAAAGTATGAAACCTGACCACTTTCTCACACCATACACAAAAATAAACTCAAAATGGTTAAAGACCTGAATGTAAGACCTGAAATCATAAAACTCCTAGAAGAGAGCACAGGCAGTAATTGCTCTGACATTGGCCATGACAACATTTTTCTAGATATGTTTCCTGAGGCAAGGGGGAGGGGGAAGGAAAAATAAACTATTGGGACTACATCAAAACATGAAGTTTCTGCAGAGTGAAGGAAGCAATCAACAAAACTAAAAGACTGCCTACTGAATGAGAGGAGATACTTGCAAGTGACATATCTGATAATGGGTTTGTATCCAAAATATATAAAGAACTTACACAACTCATTACCTAAGAAACAAATAATCCAATTAAAAAATGGGCAGAAGACATGAAGAGACATTTGTTCCAAAGAAGACATACAGGTGTCAACAGACATGAAAAGATGCTCAACATCACTAATCATCAGAGAAATGCAAATCAAAAATACAATGAGATATTATCTCACACCTCTCAGAATGGCTAAAATCAAAAACAAAAGAGGCAAGTGTTGATGAAGATGTGGAGAAAAAGGAACCCTTGTGCACTGTTGGTGGGAATGCAAACTGGTGCAGATACAGAAACTCGTACAGATACAGAAAATAGTGCAGAGTTTCCTCAAAAAATTAAAAATAATTTTACCATATGATCCACTAATTCCACTACTGGTAGTTACCCAATGAATATGAAAACACTAATTCAAAAAGATATATGAACCCCTATGTTTATTGCAGCATTATTTGCAATAGCCAAATTATGGAAGCAGCCCAATATGTCCATCAATAAAATATACGCATAAATAAATGTATATATACACAATGGAATATTACAAATCCCGCATGCTTTCACAAATATGTGGAATTTAAGAAACAAAACAAAGAAAAAAAAGAGAGACAAACCAAAAAACAGACTCTTAACTATAGAGAACAAACTGATGGTTACCAGAGGAGAGGTGGGTGGGGGGATGGGTGACATAGGTGAAGGGGTTTAAGAGTGCACTTATCTTGATGATCACTGAGTAATATAGAATAGAATGTTGAATCACTATATTGTTTGTACACACTAATATAACACTGTATGTTAACTATACTGGAATTAAAATTTAAATAAGTTTCTCTGAAAAAAATACAAAAACATTAATTCAAAAAGATATATGCACTCTTAAATTTATTGCAGCATTATT